AGTCCCTTTGCACAGTCCATAAAAACACATTGATTGGCTTGCATGGCAACAATGTGTTAATCACTCTTTGGGAGAAGAAGGGCTTCCTTTTCTCTGTTCTAACCCGAATGCTCAGCAATTTCATGGAGTGGCCACAGGGAGTTCTTGTATTGTGAGAAAGAGAGAAAAGTCCTTCTTTCTCTACCTGCTCTATCTCATGCATAATCTTGTCAACCTCGATCATGTCACCCCTCAGCCATCGGTTCTCCAAGCCAAAGAGCCCCACACGTTTTAACCTTTCTTCACAGGGAAAGCCCGAAAAGCCCCAGTTTAAATCTTGCCTCTGCACTCAACCACCTGCAGCATGGCAACGCTAATAATCCAGGCCTACCTTCCAGGGCCGTTGTCGATGACGTGCTTTGAGCACACAATGCTCCGACGCTCGGCTTACCCTGGGCGGCATTTCCTCCTTTTCAAAGCTCTCTTTTGATGAGGTCTTTGCTTCCTAAGGAACAATTCAGACCAGATGCCCTTCCGCCCACCCGGCTCCCCCGTGCAGTCTGTCTGCATCCTGTTGTCGAGAAACAAACGCTGGATTCCACCCGTAAATGTTTAATTGTTTTGTTTCCCCCCCCCCCCCCGCCAAAGACCTAAGACGGTTCCCGTATGTAGCTGCTTGGTGCCTTATCGGAGACACAGTTTTAAACACAGGGGAATGGTTTTCCCAGTGGTGCTGCCCACCGTGAGAAACACAGTTGGGCTTTGAAGGGGGCTATGGCCAATGTTCCCTCTAAGCTGAGTTAGTGTGAGCTAGCTCACGGTCTTTTAGCCTCCGGCTCACGCATTTTGGTCTTCGCTCAGGAAGGAGGGCTCCAGAGCAAACTAATTTATGCAGTAGCCAAACTGCTTGCTCACAACTTTAATGTCAGAAGCTCACAAAGTAGAATTTTTGCTCACAAGACTCCACAGCTTAGAGGGATGCCAACGTCCAGGTGAGTTGAAAGGAAGCAAACAACCGTGATGTATGGTGCCAAAAAAAGGGGGGGGGTTCTTCACCAGCTTGTTAATTCTTTTTTCAGTATTCAGTTTACTGGAAGCCGTTCAGATGCCATCAACACCAACGAACCATGCACATTACATCTCGTTTTGTGTATATCTTTATCCAAGTGATCCAAGTTTATCCAAGTGAGCTCCCGTCTCTAGTTCCAGCTCCTGCCAACGTAGCAGTTCGAAAGCAAGAAATTGCAAGTAGATAAATAGGTACCACTTCGGTGGGAAGGTAACGGCGTTCCGTGCGCCTTGGTGTTTAGTCATGCCGGCCACATGACCACGGAAACGTCGTCGGACACGCTGGCTCTTCGGCTTTGAAACGGAGATGAGCACCGCAACCCTAGAGTCGGATTCGACTGGCTTTCGAGCAAGGGAACCTTTACCTTTACCTTTATCCAAGTGGGTAGAGTCCCCTGGATTGCAAGGAGATCCAATCAGTGACTCCTAAAAGAAATCAACCCAGTAGTGTCACAGTTCTGGGAGAAATTTTTTGCAGAAATGGCAAGAATTACACGTCAAACCATCGGTGCCACACCAGCTTTGGCCCTGCTAACAATATGGGAGAAACAAAATGGAAAGGTGACTTCTAAAGATCTAATAGTGTTTATGTTACTGGCAGCGCGCAGGACAGTTGCTAAAAGCTGGAAAGCGGCAGAATTATTAACACTACACACATGGTATTCTGAGTTATGGCAGATTGCAATAGCTGAAAAATTGGAATAATCAAATCCAAAGCCAAAACTGTAGATTTTTTTTTTGCATTATGGCACAATTTTATCTTATACACAACTCAGAATAATACCCAAAGTATGTTTAAACCCTTCCTCAGATTATGGGATAAAGTTAAATAAACCTCTCTCTATATACTTTAATCATGTTGTAATTATACATTCATTATTATACACATGGAATTCACTGCCACAGGAAGTGGTGGCAGGTACAAGCATGGACGGCTTCAAAAGGGAATTAGATAAGCATATGGAGCAGAGGTCCATCAGTGGCTCTTAGCCACAAGGTATAGATAGGGGCTCTGGGGCAAGGGATGCTCTGTCTTCTTGGTGCTTGGG